TGTGGACAGCGGTGACGACCGCGGGGGCTACCGTGACCGGAATGGCGGACGCGGACCTCGCAACCCCAGGCCGCCGGGCGCGGACGTGGACACGTATGTGCCCAGCTACGGTCGTGAAGGTGGACGGCACCGGGATGACCGGCCTCGAGATGACCGACCATACCCTAAGAACGGACCTCGTGACGACCGTCCTCCTCTGGATCGCCGCCGTCGTAATAGCAGGGACGACTGGCGCTCCGTCCGAGGGCCGGACCGGGCGCCCGCAAGTACGGCAGCAGGGAGAGACACACACGGGAGCAGGAGCCGGTCGCCGGTCCGAGATCGCGAGCGTGAACGGGATTATCGCCGTTAGGCACAGCGGCACCCAAGGAACCAGCCACATCAGCAAACAACCACATCAGCAACAATCACATCAGCAATATCAGCAGTATCCACATCAACAACAACAACAACACTGGCAGTTCCGGCATACGGGACAATGGGGCTCGCAGGACCAATGGTATCCACACGACCCTCGGTATCTGCAGCAGCACCACCAGTTGTACTATCAATACGGTCCATGGCATGGCGGACCGGCCCCGGGCAGAGGCGCGCATTCCCACAATGCGCGACGTGGGCACTGGCGTTAAATCGGCACGGCCAGGGTGACTTTTTTTTTTTTTACTCCACGGCAAAGTACAGAGACAGTTGGCTTAGAGCAATCCATCATGAGGCGGGGGAGTACCGGAACATCATTGGGCGAGCACGTCGCGCGAGGCTCAGCCAAGCGGGCAAGGCGGATGGGAGCGGAAGGAGGACAGGAGGTGATGGCAGCGAGAAGTGAAGTGTGGCTGGTAGGTCTCTCTAGCTGATGTATGAAAATGGAATATGGGGACAACAATAAAATCACAAGTCCGAATCGTTGCTTTCTTCCTCGTGAATCGTCTGGGCGACCAAGCCGGCCGTGCGTCTCCTTCGCTTCGGGGGCATTTCCTCGAGGAGATGCCAGTCCGTCTCGCCCGAGGACGAGGACTCGGTCTTGGCCGGCGTGACGGGCCGCACGAGCTCGTCGTCGTAGTCTGACCTGCGCGAGCGCGTGTCGTCCCGCATGCCGAGGGCCGACGTGATGATGCCGGAGGCCAGGGCCATGAAGAGACCGGCAACGAGGCCGATGAGAGCGCCGCAGCCAACCTGTAGGTGAGGTTAGGTTCAGGACGACAGGGGAGTACCGAAGGCGAGGCGAGCGGGAAGGTAGACCGACAAATACGTATAGGGGCTGCAGGAATTGTCAGCTTTGACGCATCAAGCGGCTCGGGTGACCGATTAGAAGGGGCTTTATTTACCTCGAGGCTCACGAACAAGCCCGTGATGGCCTGCACCCACGACCAGGCGTAGGAGAGCACGAGGGTGACTGGCGACAACAGGAACAGGGCGAGGGCAATGACCTTGGAGAGGAGCAACCAGATGATTTTCAAGGGAAAGGCGCAGACAGCCCAGATGATGACGGCTGCCTGCCAGAGGACCGTCTGCCATGTGGCCATGGCTGGGCCTGTCGGGTCGAGGGCGACGTGGGGAGGATGGATGGCCGTGACGGTCGTGTCCATGACGATCAATCAGGGCATTGGCGTGAGATACGGGGACGCACTGGGCTTGAGCTTGATGCTGGATGAAAAGAGAGTTGGACGTCAGGAATGGACGAGCAGGGGGACCTCTGTGCGAGGTGGACGTCACGTCACGGTTCCTTCATTCCTGTCATGGCAAGATGCAGGTACCTCGTTCTCAGCACGGATGGTGCTGGGGTTCCAGAGCTCCAGCTTGAGCTCGAGCTTGTGAGACGAGTCGATTGACAGGAGGTTTGATGGATTACATAAGACAGGACCATCCGGACGGAAGCAAGAGCAAGAGCAAGAGCAAGAGCAAGCAAGAGCAAGCAAGAGCAAGTGCCGCCCGCGCAAGGGCACTGCACTGCTCATCCCCAGCGTATCCACCGTCACAGCGCACAGCACAGGCCCAGGCACAGACGCAGGTGGGCAAGAGCCCCTCCATCTCCCACCGCTTCTGTTCTCACGCAGTTGTCACCCAGCCGCCTGCCTTATCTCACTCACTGGATCCGGACCTCTCTCCTGCTTGTTCCCTGCCTCTTCCCTGCCTCTTCCCTGCCGACCAAACCCTGAGGTACGACATTCCGTTTTCGCCGGACCCCCCTCCCCTCCCCTCCGTCACCGAACTCACCCCAGTTCACCTCACCTCACCTCACCTCACCTCGCCTCGCCTTCTTGTTCCTCATCCCTTTCGCGAACGGCACATATCATCACCAACGAACATCAGCACGGCAGCCAGCAGCACGGCACACGGTCGTCGACAACCCCGCCGACCCGCATCACCCCCCCAACCCCGCCGCTGCTGCTGCTGCGAGGGGGCCGCTGTCCCGCTGTCCCGCGATAGCACCTGAGACCTGTCACGCGTAACGAGTCCCTTCACAGGATAGGCGTACCCTCCGATCGCGCCAGCTCGTCCACCCACCCACCGCCAGCCGAAACTCATCACACAAAGAGCCACGAGACCAGTCTCTGCACCGCGACTGGACCCCGCGCCCGCCCCGTCGACCTGCCGGCACCCAACTGCACCCCTTGCTCGTCAACTTTACTCTTTGCCCATCGCCTCACCCCAGCCACGAGGGTGCTTTTACCCCCCCGCACAGTCAGGAGTTGAGGTCGCCGTCTCGTCCCACCTGGGGGACCGCCAAAAAATAATATACTCAAGATGGGCAACAACCCCTCCTCCACGTCCAAGCCCGCCACCCCCGTCTCTTCCAACCCAGCATCCGCCCACGACTCACCCAAGAACCCCAAGAGGGATTCGAAGCACATCATCCCCCATCGCACAACCGAACGGGTCGCCGCGCCCCCCGAGGCCTCTCTCCACCAGGCCCAAGGGTCCACCATCAGCAAGGCCTCGAGACCTCTCCAGTACAACCCCATCGCCGGCATCGCCAGCGCCTCGCCCTCCTCCAGCCCCAAGAGCAACAACTCGGCCCCGCCGCCACGGCCGTCCGACGCCAAGACGATCCCCCGCGATGAGCCCACCAAGCCGCTAGACGTCCCGACAGCCCACACCGAGCCCTCGTCCCTGCGCTCCCACATCTCCGCCCACGTCGACGGTGCCGGCCTCGTGTCCCAGAGCAGCGTCAACGACATGTCCTATCTCACGCGGCCCCCGCGCCTGCCGCTCCCCATTGAGGAGGAGGTCCACACGCCCGGCTCCCCCATCATCGCGCCGGCCGATGGCGACACCCCCATCGTCGACCCCGGCTCGCTCGATTCCGACCCCATGACCCGCAAGTCCTCGGCCCTCAGCAGCAACACGGTCGACGACGACGACGGCGAGGAGCTCATCGTCGACAAGACCCGCCCCACCGTGCCTACCCAGCTGCTCTGGACTCATGGAGGGGAGAAAGTCTACGTCACCGGCACCATTTTCCAATGGAACCGCAAGCAACGACTACATCCCGTGTAAGTTCTTGCCATCCCTTTCCGGGGGAGGGGTCGACGGCTACTGGTCATGGATGCTTCTCACCACATTGTGCTACCCACATGCTGACTATACATGCCCTACAGCGAAGGCAAACCCGGCGTCTTCTCCGGCACGGTTCACATTCTCCCCGGCACCCACCATGTGCGGTTCTTGGTCGACGGCATCATGCAGACGTCGCCGGATCTGCCGACAACCGTCGACTTTGGCAACAACCTCGTCAATTACATCGAGGTCAGCGCCGATGACCTGCCGTCGCAAAAGAAGGCCGGCCAGGACGCGTCCGCCGCGGCCGGCGCCGGTGCCGCCGACGGCCAGGCGGCGGTGAAGCCATCAGCCTCGCAGACGGACGACTCGGCCAAGCCGCTGCCGAGGGGCAAATCCGTGCCGTCTGCCAGCCAATACTTCCACCAGATCCCCAAGTACCTCGTCGACTTTGACCAGGCCGAAGACTCGCCCTCGTACCAGTACGCCGTGACGGCCATTGAGAAGCTGCCGACGCCGCCCAGCCTCCCGGGCTTCCTGGGCAAACCCATCCTCAACGCCGCCGTCCTCATGAAGGACGACAACAGCGTGCTCAACATGCCGAACCATACGGTACTCAACCATCTCGCCACGAGCAGCATCAAGAACAACATCTTGGCTGTGTCGGCGACGACTCGCTACAAGAGCAAGGTATGTCGGACAAGATGTGTTCTGGAGACGGCCGAGTTTTCTAACATGAAGCTACTAGTATGTAACGACCATCGTGTACAAGCCGACCTCGACGGACGACTAGGGGCTTGACGTCGCAGGGGCAGTGGCTGGGTTGCGTGAGGACGAGGAGAGCTCGGGCCGATTGACGATGCGTCTGTGCTGCGAGCTGCGGAAACGCGAAAGTTCTCTATAGAAGAGGGGCTGGGGATCACATCTAGACGATTTCGCAATTATTTCGGAGAGCCGATTACGTCGGAGCCGATTATTTTGGGAAACCGATTGCAATGAACACAAAACATGCACGATTTCACAGGCGCCTCAACACACACGCACAAGTGCGGCCTGTGGGCCAACGTGTCCCGTTCAGTCTCTCCATTTGATATGTACCTCGTCTGTCCTGAAGCGCTGCGTGCACTGGCTGTCCTCAAGCGGCGTGCGAAAGCCAGTGTTGTAGGCCAGCAGACCGGCGTGGGCAATCATGATGCCGTTGTCGATGCAGAAGCGCTCGTCGGTGGCGTAGACGCTGCCGCCGCGGTCGCGGGCCATGAGCCCCATCATCTCCTGGAGGCGCTCGTTGCAGCCGACGCCGCCGACGATGAGGACCTGGCTGCTGCCGACGTGGGCCATGGCGCGCTCGGTGATCTCGACGAGCATGGCGAAGACGGTCTCCTGCAGGGTGAAGC